AACCCAATTACCAATGCAACACTTTCTTAATTTCTCATCCGTTTTTGACAAGCAAAACATTAGCCCTAATGAAGATGACATATATTAAAATTGGACAGCTTAAAGGTACATGAATACGAAAAAAGCAGGAAACTTTAAAACCCAAACCATCAAGCAGCCTAGCTAAAGCGCACTGCAATGGTGAATGTAGAAATGTTTGTTTTTTTTTTCATTTATATCTTACCTGATGACACAGGTCACTGCCGACAAGCACAAATCAACTTTTTAACTTGGGTTTTTGACATTTTACATTTGGCTTTGGATATAGGCTATATAGCTTCTGCTCTGTCAAAGTTTTTACAGATCCCTCAGGCACATCTTTTGAATACCTGGAGCTTCATATTCAAAGTATATTCACAGGGATGCTAGCTCAAGTTGCCCCCTTTGTGGCTTGGGCCCCTTGGCATGCGCCCATGAAACCCATTGGATGAGCCAGGCCTGGTGATTATTATATGTTTTCTGCTTTTTCCTGACAGCAAAAAATTAATTGATTGAAAATTAAACAAAAGATGGGCTACAATTACCGATTATAGTTCTGTTCTATAGTTCTCTGCATAATTTGTTAACCCCTTTAACCCTGTTTACCCCCACACTTACAAGATCACCACAGAGCAGGTATTATTTGTGTGCTGCATCATTCTCAGCATTGGAGTGACACTGACATGGTGGTGGTGTGTTAGTGTGTGTTGCACTGGTACAAATGGATCAGATACATTAGTGCTGCTAGAGTTTTTAACACTCACTGTCCACTCTATTAGACACACTTACCTTGTTGGTCCACCTTGCAGGTGTAAAATTAGAGACAGTATTATCTGTTGTTGCACAGTGTTAATCATCCTGTAATTTTTCATCAGTGTCTGATCCACTCTTACCAGCGCAAAACTCACTAACACACCACCACATCAGTGTCACTGCCATGCTGGGAATGATCCACGACCCAAATAATAAATGCTCTGTGGTGGTTCTGTGGGGGTCCTGACCATTGATGAACAGGGAGAAAGGGGGCAAACAAAGTATGCAGAGATAAAGATGAACTACAATCTGTAATTAGATTCACAAAGTACACCTACATGGTAAGTGGAGCTGATAAAATGGACAAATGTTGCAGATGCAAGCTAGGTATAACTAACAAAGTGGCCAGTGGTTGAATATTACAGGTATTTTAAAATGGCACAAATCAGAAAGTGCTATTTAAGACAGTAAGATTCTGAAAGAAAGATGTCACTCTGTCTATTTATTTGATATGCGCCTTCTCTCTGAGAAGTCCATAAAGCATGACTCATGCGTTTACATATCTATAGCCCTTGCTGGCCTATATAAACATTTCAAAGCCCAGTGTTTTAACCTTGAGTGGTTACAAATGGAAAATTCATAGCATACTAATTTTCTCCACATATAAGGTAGGGAGGAGTCCATTAGTCCTCAGTATGAAAGCATGGCTGCTTTATTGCAAGAGTTTAAAACACAGCGCAGTGTATCCCTGAGTAATTATGCCTTTCACAACGGCATATCTTTCGCCTCCTGCCTGAGAGGAGAGGAGGAGATTCTGAATGGATGCTATAGCAGTGCGGAGCCTCAGATGGCTGTTGCCGTAGCAACATGGGGCGGGCAAGCAGAGAGAGAGGGAGGTATAAAACCACCGCCGGTCCCTGACTGAGACTCAGAAACTCTGAAGCTGCCTATCAACAAAAACCAAAGCAGTGCCAAGACCAAGGCTGTCACATTCACTCTTGCACCCGTGAGGCTTCACCCGGAGAAGAAGGCGCTCTGTTATGCTGAGGCCCAAGGATCTGTGCCAGGGCTCTGGCACTAAGACCTTCCTGGACGCCATGAACAACGGCAAGGTGCACCTGGCCCGCTTCGTGCTGGATGCCCTGGATGGGCGGATCATCAACTCGAAGACGGAGAGCAGCCGCACACCACTAATGTTCGCAGTGTGCCTCCAGGACCACGGCACCAGGTCCAAGTTCACCCATCTGCTCCTAGAGAAAGGAGCAGATGTTAATAGCCGAGATGAGCATGGACGCACGGCGCTCAGCCTGGCCTGCGAGCTGGGTCATCTGGATGCCGTTAAGATCTTGGTGCAGTTCAACGCTGACCCTGAGGTCAGCGACAGCTGGGGCAACACTGCCCTGATGTATTCTGCCTACGGAGGGCACAGCCAGGTCCTGGAGTTTCTGATCAGGGCTTTCAAGAGGCTTGGGTTGAAGCTGGACCGCACAAACCACGCAGGGCACTCTGCCATCCAGGTAGCCGACTACTTAGGACATATCCAGTGTGTTCAGGTGCTCAGCGGCGTGGGGAAGAAGGGGGTGAGCTCCATCGAGCAGGCTGAAGAAAAAGATGAGGAACAGCAAGGAGAAACTCCCCAGCCCAATCGTCTCCCAAAGCAAATCCTGGAGCGATTCTCAAAGCAGTTCCATGGTAAGAATGAAGAACCACTGCCAGCTCTGTTTCAGAAGCAGATGTGGATTGGGGATGGTAACAATGAAAAGAGGCGCTTCAGTCAGCAGCAGTCACCCGACAGAACGAACCCAAGCCACCACCAAAGTTTGAGCAGATTCTCAGAGAGGCGGTTCACGGAGGACGAACAACATGCCCTGTTCACCTCAAAGCAGATCCAAAACTCTGCACTAAGAGAGGTTGGTGCCACAAGAAAGCTTAACTTTAACTCTCAGAAAGTGGACGACGATATGAGGGATAACACACCCATGTGGGGGAAAGCAAAGTCGTTTAACCTGGACCTCAGGACAGGCAGAAAACAGTCCTACCAGGGAGAGATGCGAGACATGAACCAGACAGCCAGCAAACTCAAACGAGCCTCACTTCAGGATGAGAAAGCTCTCATTGCCAAGTTTCACTGCCACAGCAGCACTTCCTCAAAGGCAACATACTTTGAGAAACTGGCCAAACCGTCGACAGAACTTCGAAATGGAGGCGAAGACAGAGACTCAAAGCGAGGCACTGCCTGCAAATCTGGAAGGCACAACAAGCTGCTGTTGGGTAGGGAGGAAATGGCACCAGAGAGAATTAAAGCTCGGCCTCAGGGCTTTGGTGGACTTGGGACCAGGCTGCTGCGACGGTTCACAGCACCTGAGTTCATGAGGTTGGTCAGGGACTGCCCTTCTGCCACGGGCTCCAGCAAAGGGAAGATTGCTCGATCAGAGACATTCCCTCTCTCGCACACCCATAAGATGGTCAACAGCCAGCCCAGTGTTGACAGCATCAGCGGTGTGAGGTGTGAGTTTGAGGGCAGTCCTCCTGTGAGTCGTCCTACTCCACATTGAAGTCATTTTAGTGGCCATTGGGTTGCAATAACCCAAAAACAGTTCTACAGGGATCACTTGCAGGGATGTCATTTGAAGGCACTTATTTCAAGCTACGTTAGGCAGTATCAACAAGGTAAAACCTGCTGCGTAGTTGTGAAGTTGCCTAGGTTACCAGTGTATATGAACTTGAATATAATGAATATGTAACAATATGTAAATTTGTCAGTTGTGTGTGTGTGTGTATGTACATGCATTAGTGTCTGCTTCAGTTTCCTGAAGTCAGAATGAAAGATTTTTTAAAGCACTTTTATGCCACAGGTTTATATAAATTTGTCTAAAACTTAGTGTTTGCTTTGGTCTTTAGAAGACAGACTTATTTATTTGTGTATTTATATATTTATTTACAATTTTATGCCCCAGGCTTATGTAATATAAGCTGTCTAAATACTTTGTGTTTGAAATTTTCTTTGCAGTTTTATGCCATAGGTAAGAAAACTTTCTAATGTAAAATTGTCTAAACTTTCTAACTGCTATTTCTAATCAGTTATAATAACTATTCATTTAATTTACTGAGTTCTTGTAATTAATGTAATTTACAGTCCATTCTCTTTACAAGTTTTCTGTGCAATCAAGGCTTTAAATGTGTTGATATACTGCATTGTATACATTACTGTTTTATGTATGTATGTTATGTATTTTGCTTAATTTGTTTACAGATAAAAGAAATATTGTGTGTAAAATGAACTCCAAACCTTGTTAAATTCAACTGGAACGAACATGCAGCAAGCGTAAGTGCATAGCTGTGATCCTGTGAAGCTTTCCTTTGCATATTTAACTATGCATATTGCGAATGTCAATCATTTCTATTCTGTAAATAAAAGTTAAAAACACATATCCAGTACACCTTATTGCATACATTTGTGTGTGTGAGCAAGAGAGAGAGAGCAAGAGAGAGAGACGGGGCAGATAAAGGTCAGACCACTGCACTGCACCTGAATATTTAATACGCATCCTTTATTCATTTTACAAAATTAAAATTATGTTTCATTTCTCTTTCATTATGAACAACTGACATACAAATACAACCACAATGATTCGTGTCAAATTGTTGAAAGAATTCAAAGGTGACGTACAGAATGTACTTAGCTGGTGACAGACCATTCAGCATGAACCAAACCAGTGTGCTTTACCTACACAAACGTAAACACAATCACAATCTCACATATTTCCATAGCAGCACACGCACACTCACCTACTGGAAAAAAAAAAATCCATAACTTGTTAAGAAAGTAAGTCAGTCACAGTACAACAGGTTGGATGTGGAAATGCCAACATGTATGTTACATTCCAGGTGTAAACATACCACACATACACACTGTAAACAAACATACTGAAGCCAGATGACTTATTTCAGGTTCTTTTTTTTCACTCAGTAAATCAATAATAATGATCAGAATGCAAATACAGTATCAACTCCTAACATGATTGTATGTACATAATTCCTTCCTTGGTTGTCCATTTCAAACTCAAATCCTTTGAAGCTGAGATGCAATATTTACAATTTGCACATTTTACAAACAATTCACAACACCTTTCAGAAAAGCAGGTGGGTCAGTCCATTGAAAAAAAGAAGAAAATCAAAAAAACTCAAACAAACAACAAAACAATAAATAGCTAAATAATTATTATATATTCAGTTGGTTCCAATGGCTCATTAAAAACAGTTGCCACCACAGTAGCAGAACGACAGTCGACGTCAATGTTGTAATGTTTATCTCAAGTCATTTCGCAAAACTTAAAATCAGCCTACATGTGCCACTGCATAGGCATGCAAGTTGATCCTGGACAAGGTGCAGTAGTCTCTCTGTGCTAAGAACACTGGTAAAATATCGACCTACAGCTTCATTCTCCCTCTGAGTCGCGATAATAAGGCTTCTCGCCTAAAAATGAAAGAATGACTCTAACACTTTCAGCTGAAGATATTAACACTCTCAAATTGTCTAGGCTGCCATTTAAGCGTTTGTCCTCAGTGTGACGTCCTCTGGACAAAGTACATTTGTCATCATCCTGTGGCGTAACTTCCTCCCACTCTACTGATGCCAGTAGCCAACAGCAGTCATCATCATCCTGAACGCACAAGGACAAAAGTGCTTGAAGTTTCTGTTTTTTCAAGTCCGCAGCTGCGTAACAACCTCTTCTGCTTGCCACTTTGCACCCAGGACGTACTTATGTAGGTCTGGGGCTCAGGGAGCCTCTGGGCGAGGGAGCCTGGGGCTCTGCAGTGGTGTAGAGACAGCCTACAGTGGGCATAGTGCTGAGGAGAGAGGCAATGGGGGGCTCAGCAGCGGGACATGCGCTTGCGATACTGCTCCACTAGGGGCACTAGGCACTGCGGAGAGCTGCTCTGCAGGAGGAAAGGGTGCTCGAGGAGGTCAGTGGCGCTTGCCCGCTCCAGTGGGTCTCTGGTCAGCATGCGATCCAGGAAGTCCTTCAGCACTGGAGACACCTTTGAGAAAAGAGCATTTTAAGACAGCAGTATAGCTTGTTTGCGGTGACTAATGAGATGCTGAGTTTATATACATTTATATAATAATGTTTACACCATTGTCATCAGTAAAAGTCACAGTTGTTGCCGTTGCTTGCAAAAGCCTGGTGAAATTTGATATTTCATTCAGAGCACACTGAAACAAGCAGATAAATACTGTCAGAAGTGCACATTCTCAACATTCAATCAATACCGTTTTTGCTTTAGTAGTTTGGAAAGGAGATATTTTGTTTGGATTTAAATTTAATGTTATTCCACATAGAGTCTTGTTTATCACTAAAGAAAAAAACATACTTTATATTTTGATTTATTTTTGCCATATTTATATGTTTTTGTCATTCGAAAAATGGGAAAAAAGTGCACCTGTGTGTGTGTGTGTGTATATGTGTGTGTGTACCTGTTGAATGTTGCGGATGGTGGGTGCTGGCTCATCTCTCAGCCTCTTCATGGCAGCCACTGGAGTTTCACTGAAGTATGGAGGCTCTCCGTCCACCATCTCTACCACCATGATGCCCATAGACCACACGTCCACCTGAGTCAGATTTCACAACACAGCAGTTTTAGATAAGCCATACAAACCATACAGACAGTATGATAAACATAGACTGCGGAGCATTCAGATGTTTAAAACACACATAACAAGTAAAACCCTCTCCTGTTCAAATGTAGTGTGTGAAAACCACATATTTACATGTAAAGATGTGAATAATTTGTCATCATGTGACATGAAATGGCATGTGATTGCATGTTTTTTTACATAAATGTGAAAAAAACATGGTGTTAACATTAACAACTTCTAAAGCTTAGGCCACATGTTAATAAGGCATAGTTGTAGTTGTAAATAGCGTGTATGTTTAAGGTAGTTGTAAGTTATTACACAACTATGTAAGTATGTAGCAGCCAAGCTATTCTTCCATGTATTTACTGCTGTACCATGTCATGTTGAGATTCATTACCTCAGTGCCATATGGTGACTTTGAGATAACTTCAGGGGCCATCCAATATGGAGTCCCTACCAATGATTTCCTCTTGGGAATATCTTTGCTGATCTGGGCACAAAACCCAAAGTCTGACAGCTTGATCTAAATTGGAAAGAATCACACTGTTATCATTCACTGTTGCTGCACGCAAACATCACTTTTACATTTTTCACATGATCCATGAACCAACTCTCTTTTTGTATTTAGAGAAGATAAGCAGGAAAGAGCCAGAGGACGGTGAACTCACCCTTCCATCCAAGGAGAGCAGGATGGAGTCGCTTTTGATGTCACGGTGGATGACACCCTGCGAGTGGAGGTAAGCCAGCGCCTGCAGGACAGCCTCACATACTGTGGCAATCTGCTCCTCGCTCAGCCTGCGCAGGCAGTATAGCTCAGTCAGTACAGCAGATCACAGTCTAAACTTGGCAGCTGATCCTAGACCATGTGAACTCCATATCTCCCACTGGTCTAAGGGTATACTGAGACGTCAAATCGATGGTTTATTTAAGAATTAAGACGTTTTAAAAGATTTTTTTATCCAAAATGTAGTTCATTTAAGGCACGCTTTCTGTCCGAAAGCTAACAAGTAATGCAAGATTATAGCAACCAGTTTAGCATAATGAAAACTAAATCACACATTGTTAGCGTTGGAGGTAATGTGGTACAAAGTAATGTGCTACTGTAATGTGAGATACAGTTTAGCATCATGAAAACTGTATCACAGATGTATCAAGAATAGCATAAATGGCTAATGAAGATGGAAGTTGCTCAAGTAGTTATTTAGCCTTACAAATGATCTTTTTTACTACATCTTCATGACAATCATGATAATCACTCTGAGCCTTAATTTCTAAGGCCTGTTCTGAGGCCTGTTGGTCATTTCTGTTTATTTCATGTAAAAGCAAAGGGACATTTTATTTTATATAAGCAAACAAATGAAGTAGTCCATACGCTCACAGCGAGGAAAGTAAAATAAGGTAGACATGCCCTGTTCCGATATGCCAACTGCCTTCCAACATTTTGAGATGTATCCAGTTCATTTGCAGTCCAGTACCTGACAGTTAGGTCAGCATTTGTCCCATTAAAATGCCAAAGACAATTTGGTGTTGAGTGCTTAAAGAAAAGAGAGTGTTGGTGATACAGGCTACAGAATGCCACAGTCACTCCATGTAGTGTTGAACTGGCTATTTTCGCTTGTGAAAACAGTGCAACTCATACTTTAGAACAGGAAAAACATATTTTTCAGGCTAACTGAGTCTCCTTCATGTCATCACAGCACTGACAAATCCAATTACGTAACTGAATCACTGTCCCCCCTCCACAGAAGTGGGGGTTACATGTATACAGCAGCATTAGAGGGAACAGTGACTGTCTACATTCCCACACAGCCTCATCAGAAGCTGAGTTAACAGTATACTGGCCCCTTGTGGTCAAGATAAGCTGCTACAACAAAGGTGCTTAAATCCAAAACGCCGTCAGGGACACCTTAAATAAACCCTGCAATATGACATCATCACCCAGAAACCCTCAGGTGCTGTTTACACACAGTGAATAAAGGACACAAATCTTCCAGAACGGTCAGTCATTTTTAACAGGCTGAGGTAGAAGTAAAATTAGCATTGGGTTTAGTAGATTTTAACTCTGATGTCAATGAAGTGGCACTAAGTCTTTGGGAAATAATTGTTTCTCCAGAGCTAAAATATATGTAGATCAGTGTCGGATACATTTGATTGTTATATCAAACTGATACATGATGGCATATATACTGTAGCCACATTTAGACAATGGGCTACTGTGCTAAATTATCTGCAATTTTACAGCATTTTTAATCCTACAGAAATGTTAGATGTTATATTGCCCTGTAATGGTAATCCTGATAGATTCAGTCCTCATTTCTACAATGTATTAATGTGAAAATTATGTATCAGCATGAGCAGATACAGATGTATGCATTAAGCTTTGTTCATTTTCTAAGTGAAAATAAGCAAACAAATCCTCTACAGTAAAAAAAAAGTTAGATGTGGCAATATACTCCAAATTAGAGCACAAGTTCTATTTAGTTGTTGATTTTAACATGTTGGGAAAGAAATGAAACATTTTAAATGTGGCATAACTTTTGTACATGCCACAGTATAGATTTATTTTTTATTTTCTTTGATATGTTAAATGCAGTATATAAGCAGTAACAGTGCATTAAAATGTGCAGAAGTGTGTTCTCTGTAGAGGATATGTTAACTTATTTTCACTCAGAAAATCAACCAAACATGTCATTTGACCACAAGTGCCCAAACTGTTATACAATTGTATGTACACTAAAAATATTAGATAATGGCATCGCTCACATTTAAGTACAACTGCATCCCTACCATCTCTGGTTCCCTACAGAACCATTTTTGTAAAAGAGATGTGAGTTTAAAGAAACTTTTGGAAAAAAACTCCACATAATGTAAAAGTGCTACACTAATTAAAATCTTTTCCTAGCACTGTATGTTTGTGCCAAGAACCATTCAGGAACCTTTATTTCTAACAGTGTAGCATCTTGAGGGTTATATTCAATGCTGATAAGATAATAATTTTAGACTTTGTTAAATCAGCTATGAGAGCAGGTTCTGGTTTTTGCTTTAACTCTATGTGATGCCTTACCTGGTTTCAGACACTATGTTAGTGAGAGCTCCTCCCTGGAGATACTCCATAATGACCCAGAGTTCCTCCTCCACCAGCGCACTCTTAAACATCTCCACCACATTCTTATGCTGATAGTCCCGCATGATCACCACCTGCAAACACAAACACAATTGTTTAGTCAGTCCAGAAGGGCAAGAGAATTCATATGCTGTAATTATTATTATATAACAGGTATTTTGAAGGTTGCAGCCATGTAAATGAGACACAGCCAACATGTCAATAAAGTTTAAATATATTAGAAATAATAGAAAAGTGAGAAAGAATTCATGAAGTAGAAGTAGTGAAGTATACTCCATGTATAATGTAGGCCCCACAAGTCAGCATTGCTAGGATGTACTGGTTAGCCATCCCTGATATAAGTACACCAGTTATACCAGTTTGCCAGTGAGTAAACATCTGTAGCTGTGTCCAGTAAAGGACTTGCAACTGAAATGACCTTCACAGGAATTAGTGTCTTATATATGTCTAGTTTACTATAGTTCTATATAGTACTATATATTACTATATGTTCTGTAATCTTTATCTCTAAAAGAGATAAATGTATGTACAGGAATATACCAAATAATGTCTGTTCACAACAGCTACTGTGATTTTAATGCTACAGAATTACAGTAAAATTACTGTACAGTGTATTGTACATTTACAGTGATGTATAGAAACTTAACATTGTGCGACAGTTCTAATAATAGATCCTTCAAACTCAGACATTTTATTTACAAAAGTGATTCTTTTAAACAACTATTGACCAAAAGTTTCTCAAACTGGTCTTCAGGGTCCCAGAACGGTCCATATTTTTACTCAATTCATGTATGTTGTGAGTAGGAATTAAGTAAAAATGTGGAGACCAAAGGAGTTCTTTTAGTAGTTCTTCTATGTCTGTCTAAAGACTTTTTTCTGCATCTTTTTTTTTATAAAATAAGTTATATGACTATGTGAGTGAGGAATTGAAGTGTAATCCTTCATATGGGCCCTTGCAATTGAAATGAGATTTAAATCAAATTTATTAATTGAGATATGAGTTATTATTCAAATAAACTCATTTAAGGGATTTAATTACAAGACATAGCAACTTTCTAACAAGACATACCAAATTCCTCCCAGTTCACTATAAAGAATTCCTTACCTCATTGAAGAGCAGTTCCCGCCTCTGCTGCCTCCTCAGGTCCATCATTTTGACTGCCACCAGCCGGCCGCTGTGTTTCTCGCGAGCGATGCACACCACCCCGGTGGAGCCCTCGCCAATCTTCACAAAGTTCTCCAGGTATGAACGTGGGTCACCCTTGTCCACCACCATCTGCAGCGCTGCTTTGAACTGCTCATGGGTGACTTTGGGTGGGTCAGGGGGCGGGCGGGGTGATGGGTGCTGTGGGGGTCTGAAGGCAGGGGAACATGTCCCAGGAGGGCTGGTTGCTAAAGATCCAGTAGGCGAGGGGCGTGGCTGTGAGGGGCTGTCCTGTCTGGGGTAGAGTCCGGGGTTGGGGCAGCCTGAGTGCCTGAGGAAGGGGTCAGGGCCGGCTGGGCGGAAGCTGATGTTGGGCGAGAGGCCGATGGTGTAGCTGGAGGACGAGCGCACCGTCCTGTGTGGCCGTGTGGCGCTCACCAGAGGACTGCTGGCCCCGCTGTGGAAGAAACCTGGCTGTGGCCTCAGAGCGGTGTCCGCCTGGACCTTCAGAAAGAAAGGCAAATCAGCGCTATCATAAGAAAACCTCGTAACTCAAGGTGATTTGGTTTTGTGTTCTTTTTTGCACTATTTGAAAATTCCTCTGTACCATAATGCTTATTTACACTGCTGTACCAATGTCAACAAATGTTCATATCATCCCGTAATATTCGGTATATATTATATTATAGTGTATTATATTATATTATACTGCAATTGTACAGTCACTCCTACTGTATAGACATTTACTGCATATCTACACATATTCAATCTCTTTATAAACTCTCATGTTGGTTCTTCATGATTCTTTCTTATTCTCTATTGTCTTTATTGTATTATTTTATTTGTCCCTTATATTTGGTAATAGTCTGTGTGGTTGTCTAGTCAGTTCCATATGTTACGTCATACATGTGCGCATTCTCTACTTAGAAACACAAATGTGGTGTCGCGATTGAATGTCCAGAGTGCACTCTTTCTACAGAATTTCTCTGCTTGTTTCTGCTTCTAAGAATTCATATATAAATTACATGCTTACATGCTTTTGTTATCACTAGCAGTAACTGTGACTTCTAATGGTTAAACACTAAAAACCTATCAGCGAGTCAAGACTCTCCTTCCTCATTCCGACAGGGCTTTGGCATATCTTGTTAGAGATTTGGTATATCTTGTAATTACCCCTTAACCCTTTACTGTATGGTGTTGCCATATGGCATCAATGCTTTATTTTTGCCTGGCCACAATATAACTACAATGTATATACAATATACATTTTTCACACACACATCACATGGTGAGGCTAAGCCTCCAAAGCACTCTCAAACTGTGGGAGGTTACATTTTTTTTCATAAATAAAACCAGCTTAGATTTGATCAATTTTGTATAAAATGGCACACTGTATATGAATGTATAAACTGCCTGGTGGTGCAGTGGGCAGTGCTATTGCCTCACAGCAAGAAGGTCCTGGGTTTGATTCCCCAGCTGTGCGCCCAGGGGCCTTTCTGTGTGTAGTTTGTATTTTCTCCCCACGTCTTTGTAGGTTTCCTCTGGGTGCTCCAGTTTCCACCCACAGTCCAAACACGTGCAGTCAGGTGATGCAGTAAAGGTTTAAAATCTAAGGGCCTGCATTTGGGCCCACATTTCAATTTCCCACTCTTATAACTATATATGAGTTTGTAATAACTTGGTATTAGTTTCATAGAAATCACTGAATAAATAATTGTAGTTAATAGTGGTTACTGCATAATAGGCCAACTTCATAATAAATCTAGAGATTAAAGGATTAATAGAAGAACAATTTTTCTTTGTCTTGTACAGTCATTGTTTCCGAAATGCCAGGTTTTATATACTATAGCACTGAAATGTTGGCTGCTGACCTCTAGCCAAGTGCTCTGCAGTATAGCTGCATGGTAAAGAAATACTGCCATCATCTCATTCTTTGTCTTCCCTTGTATTCTGCTAGCATGCTGCGCTTTAAACATTTACTCTCAGGAGTGTGTGAGGGCTTCTAAAAATAGCCTGCTAGCACCACAGGGACATTGCAGGTCTAAATGCTTTGCGTCACATTTTATCACCTTGAGAAACCATCAAAATTAATTAAACAAGTTTACACAGATTGTGGAGTGTGTCGGCATACTTTATCTTCAGAGACACCAGCAATATAGACTACACTGTAGATAGGAATTAAACCCTTACAGCTCACACTGAAGATGCAAAATAGATGATCTAAAAGATTACTTCAGAGTTACAGTACTGTTCTGTTGCATCTAATGCACATTTGAGTTGTTTTATATAGGATGTGTATATGAATTCTTGTTTTGTAACATAATTAAATGCATATAATTGATCCACTACATGACTTGCAACTGGGTATTATATGTGTATATGTAAACCTCAATTCCAAGAAAGTTGGGACAGTATGTGAAATGCAAATATCAGTACAAGATTGGTAATGTTTTATCTTATTAACTTCATTGTTTTTGCAAATGTATGCTAATTGTGAAAATGATGCAAAAAGCACTTTCCAAAAAAGGGGGCAATTTAAGATTAGGACTGTAATGAAATGTTTAAAAAACATCTTAAACGGGTGATGCATTATTCTTGGGTCTAAAAGGAGCTTCCAGGAAAGGCCTAGTTCTTTATAAGCAAGGATGGGTTGAGGCTTGCCACTGTGCAAAAATGCATCAAACAGTTTGAAAACAATGTTCCTCAATGAGCAAGGATTATAAGTATTTCACCCTCAACAGTGCATAACATAATGAAAAGATCTAGAGAATCTGGAAAAATCCCTATGTGAAAACCACATTCCTAAGACAGCACTGCATAAAAAAACATTCTGCATGCTTCTGTGATGGATATCACCACATGGGCTCAGTTAAATTAAAACTGTATTATGCACAGTGAAAGTCATATGTCAGCAATGTCCAGAAACGCCGCCAACTTCTCTGAGCTCAAACTCATCTAAATCAGACTGATGCACTGTGCAAACATGTATTGTGGTCTGACGAGTCAACCTTTCAGAGTTTGTCGAATTAATGGACGTCATCTTCTTCAGTTGAAAGAAATAAAGGACTATCCAGATTGTTACCAGTGTAAGGTTTAAAATCCAGGGTATGTCATAGTAAGGAGGGTTATTAGTGCCCATAGCATGCTCAAATCTAGAACAAATGGTATCTTCAGTCCTAAACCAGGGGTCAGCAACCCAAATGTTAAGAAAAGCCATTTTCTCCTTACAATAAATTCAAACCACCTTGGGAGCCACAACATGGTATGTCCATTTTACCATGTTGGCTGTAAATATGTCTCAGTATGTGCTAATGTCCTAGTATAGGCTAAAATATTTTATAAACAAAAATGCAGCACTTAATTTGCTCTGTTTTAAGCTGTAGTTCACCTATAGCCGTTTTCTTGCATCTCCGGTAGGAAGCATTTTTGCAAAAGTGGAAGAGTTTCTTATAAAATGTGTCTCAACATTTTCAGTGTCTCATTCACCAGCTTCTTGTTCGAATTGTCTTGTTCCACCTTAAATTGTGCCAGTGGCGAGGTGAGAATGTAACTACGGCACCATTTAAGGTGGAACGGGACAATTTGAAGAAGAAGCTGACTTCAGCTTTGTGACTTCTTAGTGTTTGACAGGTTCTTGTTGCAGATTAAATGTATCAGAAAACCAGCTGAGTGCTTATAAAGGCAAACAAGTCCATTTGTCAAATTGTCAGTGTTCATGTTCACAGTCTTTTAGTTAGTTGCTAGCTAGGCAAGACTGTTGTCTGTCGCTATGTGACCAGCAGTCTGCGCACCAATCTTTATAAAGTAAAACATCAAAAATAAAGTTAATACAGGCAAAACAGAATTCACTAATCACTGCTTTCTGTTTTTATTAGCGTTTCACATAGTGTCTCAACTTTTTTGAAACTGAAGTTTGTAAATATGAATTCAGCTAAGCCTGTTACAGCTTCATTTCAGTATATTGTTTAAATACAGTATTGGCTTCTTCCTTTCTGTAGCTGGAACTTCTTCACAGCAGTTCTGTATTTGGCAGTTTCTCTAGATGTTAATCTCATCTTTTATGCCATTTTATCATATTAGAACTTTCAGGTTTCTGATATTTGACTGCTTCTTGTGGTGCGACTTGCTGTGCAAAAAAAGTGTGAAAATAGTGTTGCAGCATCCCTTGTTAATTTCAAGCCATATAGAGCATGTGCATAGCCACTTAAACATATGCAGTGTTGGCAACACGTTTAAGTAAAAACTTTCTCGGCTCCTGTTTGGAAGGTGTAACGTCAGCTATCTGACCTTGGCTGTTCCCAACTCTTATGCTTATGTCTGTTACACTCACGTGACAGTGACTTATACTCCTGTCAGGGCTATTGCTGACACATTTCCACATCTCCTCTGTTGCCAAATGTACATTTGCAAGTGATCTGCATTTTCTAGAATCTGCAAACAGTTAAACGTGGAGCTACAACTCATGAACATGAATTCATTTTCTTCCACTTTTTTCACTTTGACCACATTTTAGGCTTTGTTTGAAGACACTCTACTCTTTCAGCAGACAGAGATTCAAACCTTTGATGCTGAGGTTACAGATGCCACTCACGTTATCCTTCTGCTTCATGTCGAACTTTTCCTGAATTCTTTATGTAGTTTGGTTATCTTTGCAATGTTGACATAGTCCTTCAGAGTATCCTTCAGACGCAGTAAAGAATCTTGAAGAACCATTCATGAGGGGAAACTGTCTTTCATTTCAATCACATAAACACCAAGAACTGTGCAATACCACAAGAAACGATAAGTGTAGCTTATGCCTAAGTAAACAAGTTCAGAGTTCTTTTTTGTTACTATTTGCTGTTAATAGGGAACATATTCTTTAAATATTAAATTAGTTACTTTGCTTCATACACTGTCAGATTTATTAATTAACAACAGAATTTTTAACAGCCAAATTGGCTGATTTTCTTTTTTAATACTCAACACTCACACTGTATAGTGTACCAGAACATTTTATTAAGTTTTGCTCCATACGTTTCTCTTTAACAGGCAAAACTAGCATTTTAAATATAAAAAACAAAAATTCAGGCTATTTAAATAACATGAACCAAATGGAGTGCTTCACCAAAAGCAAGATGTAAATGCCTGTTTAGCACAATGTGTTATGCATAATTATGCTACAACATTTCAGTACAGGTGTAGCAGCAGCATACAGACACAACATGAGTGCATTTACCTGCCTCATGTAATTTACATCATAATATTGCAACACAGATCAGCCAAAATCAAAATAATAAACTGGCCGATACCTGATTGCTTGTTTGGAGCTATAACTAATCTGAATTGAGAAATAATAATTAAGAACAACCAAGTACAGTTTGACTGGTGGAGAACATTCTAAAACCTGAACCGTAGGTTCTCCCAGATGATCCGCATTTTTGCTCCAACCTAACTCGCAACACACTGGGATGATGGAAAAGTGGACCCTTTGGGAGGCCCTGAAAATCACGATGGGAACTACTATTCTAGAACATTGGGAAGGGAGAGAGAATATTAAAGAACAGTGTGAATAGGGGAGAATCTTCTAGAACAGTGTGAAAGGGGGAAAACATTCTAGAAAAATGTGAATGGAGGAGAACATCCTAGAATGGTGTGAATGGGAAGAGAATATTCTAGAAGCATGTAAATTGAGCGGGGCATTCTGGAACACTGAATGGGATGAGAACATTCTAGAACATCTGACTGGTGGAGAGCATTCCACAACCTTGTGAATAGACCAAATCATGATGCTTGTAAACATAATGGTTGGCTAAACTTCTAGGTAGATAACTTGCATCCAGTCAGCATAGAAGCAGCTTAACTGATGGCACAATTTACAATTACATATTAGTTTGAGACCGTAATATCAAATGTACTCAAGTATGTAATCGATTGTATTAACATTTACCCTGTTTTCTAGCGCTCAAAAGCAGGTAGAGCTGCTATAAGAAGTATCAAACCCATTGAAGGATTCTCTGTCTTTGGTAACACTTACAGCAGAAGCTAAAGACAACTTAGCGAATACTTTACTCATCCAGATGAAGTTGCCAAGCATTATCACATGAATAATAAGACCAACAGAATGTAAACTAGGACAGTATGTTGATGCGTTAATTGCTATTTTAGGAATTATTACTTTGTAGAGAGTTTGACACAGGGTGACATAAGCTGTAAGAACTAATAGTATTATCAGTTATGCCAGCGACCAAGAACGAGTGTTCTTGCTCTTTTTTTTACACTCAGCAGAGAAAAAGTGAAGCTTTGTTTGAGTCCACACGATGTGTAAATGTAGACATTTGTGTCCGTGCATAGAACAGAGCAGAATGTTGCTTCATATGAGCTAATAAAGGTAAGCTAACTGTCAAGCAAGGTAGCTAATTAGCCAAATTAGATGCTCTGGAGTGACCAAAAAAACAAAAAATGACCAAAAGACCATTAAACTGTTAACTGTGCTTATTATAAACTGTTCCACCTGTCTCTTGGGCAGCTGGAAAATTTCTTGTTCTTGAACGTGCAGCGGGAAAACACCTTTATTAAATCTTGCCATGAAATGTGTGGCTGTATGTTCATGATTATATGACAAAAACTAACCAGAAAAAGCTTTGTTTTTCCAGTATCTTGGGTAAATAAATCTCAGGATTAGGACGAAATCCTGTTGTACCAGTGCAGCAACACCTGAGTTTTCCATTCGGAGGTAAGCTCTTTGCTTTGTCCTATAGGAGTAACGTTCTAGATGAGTGTGAATGGAGGAGAACATTCTAGAGTCTCCCGACAATCTCACACAGGTGTGGCATACCAGCCAAACATTTGGATTTGTTGGTGTTTGTTGGAGAACATTTGGTTGGTGTGCTCTGGGTTGAGTGACACAAAGTAGTTTACCTTTAGGTCATATGAAGAGTATGGTCTCCCGGGGCTGTTCTGTGGGTGAACCAGCAGCCGGTCAGTGGTCCTCAGGTCTGGCGGGAGCCCCCCGCTCTCTCCTTGGGCATGCTGCATGGGCATAGTGGGGCTATAGAAGCAGGAGATAGGTCTAGGGTTGTGAGAGAGCACTATGGGAAACTCCCTCCTCATCATTAGTCTCTCATTAGGGCTCCCCAAATCCCCGCCCACGTACACGGGCCGGGGGGGCACAGGGAAGGGTGGAGGCGGGGGAGCGGGCAGCGCAGGTGGAACTGGGCGACCCTCCAGGGAGCTAACGCTAACCTCATAAGTGGACTTGGCCCTGGGCAACACGCCATTAGGTTGTAGGGTGATGCTCTTCTTCATGCCCATGTACGGCGTCCCACTCTCGCTGTGGACATTCCGCGACTGGTCCCTCCACTGGGCCTGGGCATCAGCCTCAGGGTCGCCCTGCTCCAGGTCCTCATACTGGTAGGTATCGCCCTCGGTCACCTCGCCCAGACGACCCAATGATTGTGCCCTCTTGCGGGTCGAGGGGCTGCTCTTGCGCAGCGAGTTGGAGCTGGTCACCGACAGGCGGCTCATATCTGACAGCATGGCTGAGATGTAGTCGCCGTGGCCCACGAAGCTGCCCCGCACGATTGTCTGAGGAGGAGAGAGAAAGAAAGATGCATTTTGATTTATGTGAGCTGAGCAGTGCAAATTCACAGGGGAATGAGCTTGAAATCACACTTCTTTAAAGCAAGGCTATTCTGGGGTACAGTGTACAAAAGATTCCTTCACAAATGTATGCTGCCTGACAAAAGTTTGGAGACACCTTGCTTTTCAGAAAGTATTTAACCCCTTAAGTGCCCTGGACCTGCCGGCTGTTCCACTTTTCTATTCCTCACTCCTATAACTTAATAGAGACACAATCATATTCCATCCTTTTTACGTAATTTCTAAATAATATAATATATTAACATAATTTCTAAATAAATAATAAGCCCTAGGGTTTTTATTACTCATGAATTAAGGGGTATTTTTTTGTTTTTCAAAAGCTTAACATATTAACACTGTCTCTCTGAAGATGCTCTTTAAGCCATTAAAGTCTGCTGCCAGAGTAATTGGGGCACATTCATATCCACGCTGGGCAGTGAATTGGACCAGCATATGGAACTTTCTATACATTACTGTGTTTCTATCACTGTCTAAAAGAAGCATGATGCTGCCTTTGTTATTAATTGCACTGCAATACTATCTAAACAAGTGTGTGCACGTTCAGAACAAAATTCTCAAAACTAGGTGCTTATTACTGATTTGAATGATAAAAGGTGAGAAAAGTGTGAAGATTATTACTTTTCTAAGTTTTTCTTGTTAAAAATTCTAGAAGTTTTAAAGAATTTCTGCTTTGCTAGATCATGGCCTTTAGAAAACAAATGAGGCCAGACCAGACCAGATCAGGGGCATTTCAACCAAAACTTACAGTATAATATTGTCACTGTCCAAAGAAAAACAAATATCTCCAAAAAAGTAACTTTACAGGCAAAAACTTTATTCACTTTTAATGTAAGTTAATGTACTTAACTAACGTAGAAAAATAAAGCAATTCATTTAGCAATTTATTATTAAACACTGATTGTTTTTAATGACAAAGTACACCTTTAGGGGGCACTTTCACAGTAGTTTTGAAAACAAAATTTTTCACGTAAAACACCATCTTCCTGTCAAGATGAACACTTTGATGAACATGAAGCTGAGTGCTACAAAATAAATTGAATAGCTGAATTGAATGTTAACATTTATGCGTAGATTTTTTTTAGTCAACAACAGCAAGAAAACTCAAATTTCAAAAGAAGGAAAAGTATCCCCAGACTTTTGACAGACAGTGGGCCTTTTGTCCAAGACCTTTTGGTTCAGTCAATTGCTCTTGTACCATATTAGACTCAGATAAAGCTGTAAAGCTTTCTTCCAGTGCTAGCTTCATGCCAATCTCTATTTCTAAGCAAGCTGGCAAGGGTTTTTGGCCACAAAGGACATTTTCTGTCAACTGCCATGTGCTTCAGTCACTCTGTCCTTGACGGGAGGTATAAACGTGCCCTGAAAGAAGCAGTGACGCACAGCACCAGTGTGGCTCAGGAGCGCAGACTTGGTTAACCTATCAGACAAAAGCCCAGCGGTCTCTCACTCAATCTTGAAGTGAAGTCATGCTTGATTTCAGCGAGGGCACTGTCTTTTGGGGGTGCGGGAGGGGGGGTAGTGTGGGGAAATGAAAAGAATATACCAGCCATAGGACCACATCTAAAACCATTCAACAAGGTAGCAGCTTAAAATGCTTGCAGCCAGTTTTTGTGTGAGACAACTCAGAAAAGCAATAAATTACTATACCTATTGCACTTTACCTATTGGCCGCTATGTAGTCTGAGTTTGAGACCTAAAGAAACCTAAAACTATTTAAGTCAAAGCTTTTAGTCTCATAGTTTTGAACATAGACACAAGTTTTCACTGTAGTATTTCAACTGTGGTGGTTTTACTGTATGTACATTATGATAAGGCATCATTGCACTACAACCATGGAGAAAGCCAGGGTGGTTAAGCTCTACCGCTCTGAAGCCTTCCCTTTGCTTGGAGGTGCAGTTTTTATCCCTGAGTCTGACACTGGTGACTAGGCAGCGTGGATCGTTATTAATTGCCAGCGTGGAGTAATAAATCTTGGTACCCTCCAAGGATTCCCATCCTTGAGTTGATGTACATAGCAGGGTTGTTAGCTGAGACCCATGATAGATAAGAAGGCAATATGACAGTAGGCTAAGAAAGCATGTGTTCTCAGCGCTATTACCTGATTCAAGGGGCTCTCTTAGGGGAAAGAAATGCTGGCGCAGCTTTGAAGAATGGAGCTTACAGTATGTAGAAGGAGGCTCAAAGGCTGAGCTGAAATCTATGCTTGAATTTAATGTTCTGACCTAAAGTCCAGAACTATGACACAGTATAGTAAACCAAGACCACATTTTCAGCTCTTCAGCCACTGCTTGGATCATCTGCTTCCTGACAGCCTAGAACAGCACCACATTTAATCGGTTTCCCCACATCTTTCACTCCAATTACTCCAATACTGACCGTCTGCAGGATCACTTGCAATGTGAACAAGTAAGTTAACCTGCTGTAGACTGAGTGGGTAGTCATATATTACCATTCAAAAGATTCGAATCAGTGTTTTTAATAATGTAAAACAAGTGTAGTGGCAGATAAAAATGATTCCAATATACTAAGGCCCAATCCCATTTCACCTCTTGCCCTTACCACTTAGCCCATAGCCCTCCGTTTTGTGTGATTACATCTTGGGGTAGGGTGTCCCAGTTTTTTTATTGAGATAAAGGGGTAGGGCAAAGAGGTAGGGTGAAGTGTTAGGGCTACATGGCCCTCCAAGCAGAGGTTTTTTGTCAAGATGGCTGTGCAAGCGACCAAAAAAACCCATAAATGCAAGTATTTTCTCTGTTAAAAAATTACGATAACCATCATATTAGCTTAGTTTAATGTCATTTCAATGTATCATGGTCCTTTTCTTCACAACAAGCTTAAAATATCACTAATAGCATGCTAATGTCTCTGTAGCTAGCTAGCTAAATTTCCCATTCCACCTTAAATAGTCCAGCAGTTCTGACGCCTGAAGTGCCACAATGTAACTGCTACTCCATTTAAGGTGGAAAAGGAAAATTCGAACAAGAAGCTGGTGATTAGCTGCTTTCAGCTTCAAATCATCAAAGAATTAGTTGTGGAGCGATAATAAATAATTATCACATCCTCCCTCTTTGAAAGCATGTAAAAGTGAAACAATGTAACAGTTTTCACATTGTACATCAAATTCTTTCTGGAAAAAGCAAGGAAAACTCAGTTTTCCATTATATAGCTCCTGCAAACATGATCACTAGATTTGGGTAAGAAGATGAAACACTGACATAGTCAACAACATGCAGACAGATCTTTTTTCACACTTAAATTAAATTAAAGGAATCACTGTTCTCCATGTTTTTGTATGAATCTCTTGTTCACACCTGACATATTTTCCTACCTTCTTTGGTTTCAGTTCCACCGGTGTTATTCTGGAGGGGTCCACCATGGGTTTGGGTCTTCGTAGGTTTTCTATAAGACTCTGCCATTGTGTTGGTAGCCCCACAAACACTCCACGCTTTGCATCGAAAGAGGTATGGACTCGGTGCTCAAAGTTCTTTGGTGCAGAAATTTCTGGCCTCTTCTTTTTCTTTTTGCGGAACATTGTCTGGTCCTACACTGACAAACCTGTTCAAAAAGAAAAGCTTATTTTAAAAAAGTTGAAACTTCTCAGGCTGCTTATCAAGAAGGCAGTTTACACTGCTACAAGTTTGCGATTTAAGGCCATTTTGTTAACATATAGTACATTTTGAAGCCATTATCTTAACATATAGTACATTTGCATTTGTTTTGGAAGAAAATCATTGTCAACAGTACACCATGGTTATCCAGTATATGAGCGCTTTTCCTTTCACTGGAGAAAAACATACATTGGCAAGTGAAAATAATGTAGTCAATATATCTACTATTACTCATTTCATTATTTTTTTGTATGAATATTGTAAGGTTATTCACTTGTTTCTAGATGTTTTCACTTCTCTTAAGTAATTTTATCTGGTGATGTCTCACTTATTTGGAGTATATCTTGAAATAAGCAAAATTATCTGCCAATAGCAGTGTTTTTCACAGGTCTGAAATGAAACTGGGTGGGAGGGTGGGGGTAGTAGCAGGGGCAGGGTGAGTAGGGGAGTAGGAGTAGGATAAGGAGGGGGTTGTATTCTTATAAACAGATATCCAAACTCATCTCAGTACTTTTTTTATTTTTATTTAATTGAGTATTCTAATAAAGCGTGTATGGTTTGGAATAAAAAAGTGAAGTACATGAAAATACAGAATAAAAATTATACAATATAAAATATTTGGGAAGTGGGACAATATGGGTGGCTGTCAGGACACTTAATGGGGCGGCGGGTCGCCCATGTCTGGGAAACACTGAACAGAATAACACAATTTCACTAGATAAAATTAAGTAAAATAAATAAATATTATTATAAATAAATAAAATTGAAGAGTCTTATTACATTATTACAACAATCTCACAATGAGAAATACTAGACATTCACATTACAAGCCTCATTGATCAAATCCGATATTTTGCTCAAATCTGATCTCTCTGACACGAAAGTTCACACTCATTTGGGTAAGTGATTCAAATCTGTCATTAATGTGAACGAACCGGCGTCCTGAAACAACCCACATGCGCACATCCTACTCTGTAACGTCACCTGAATTAATCACGTGCATCATGTGCATCATCAGCAAACAAACTAATGAGCAGAACGAGCCTTCGCTGTGAAAATAATTAACTCTGAACAGCTCTCAGCTGTAAATTATATGAGCGAAACGAAGGTGAAAAAGGTGAGATGTGTTGTTTTTTTCACCGTTTACAGGCTTTAACTTGGCTGCTGCCATGGTAGCGCTGAATGATGGCGCATGCACAGTGGAAAAAAAGCATGCGAATTCTGACCTGAGCATTCATATTAAGGTTGCATGGCCACGAATCGGATACATATCTGATCTAGGACCACATGTGACAGTGGCTCAGGTCGGATTTGAAAAGATCAGATTTGTGCGTCCACACAGCCCTGAAAACATCAGATCTAAGTCACATTACGGCAAGAAATTAGATTTGTGCCACTTCAATCTGGTAATGTGAACGTAGCCTTACTGACTAGATCTGAGACGGTTTCAGTTCTTTTTGCAGCGTTCATCATGCTGATCAACTGAAAAGTCACCAATCATTGTTTCAGCTTCAAAATGTGTCAAACTGGACTTTGCCATCTTTCTACAAATTTGATGCTTTCTAGGAATCCAGATGTTTTCAATTGTATTGCACATTGCCAAGTCAGCCCTTTGCTCTTCTAAAAACTGCGAAGTGAATTTCTTACCATGGCTTAGGGCTTCAGGATACTCTGTCATATTCGGCAGAGTATCCTGATTCACACAATTGAGCCACAGCTAGCCAATATGCAATTCACTGCCCACAATAAAATGGATGTCAAGCCCTCACTCTCTTTGTTCTTGGGACAGAAAATCCAATACAGACATTTCTCCTGGCTGTAAAGAAGTGTAAGCACTCTGCGCTAGAGGCTTTCTTCATGCTGAAAACACCATTTCCGTCTGAAATGCATATCCTCCTTTGTCTAGCCTTGCTGTTGTGGTGGTGTTGTTTTTTTTCATGCTCACGAGTGCTGCTATCGGCAGGGAGTCAGATACGTTTGTGTTCGCATGTGAAATGAAGGATAGCTGCTCAATTAAGGCTTACTCATTGCGCCTGCCCTTTAAGTGACTGACGGAGAGTACACAAAGGGCCTGTGGCTGCTGCCTCAGGGTTAAGAGTGCATTAGCAGGATGAAAAGAATCACAAAGGAGGCAACCTTCCTTCACCCTGAACAGTGGCCAGTGATTGCGGACGAGCCTTTCTCTCTCTGATTTCCAAGGAAACTGACCGTTCAGGCCAACAAGGTCATTTTTTTCCTCTGCACTTCATGAAAGCTAAGGACATTCAGTGACCTTCTGCTATGTGTGTTTTCATTTTGCTGCTTTTTTTAACGTACAGAAGATTTGTCAAGGATATCTCAGCTTCTAGGCAAGTCTCAAATTCATAACATGTCTGGATTTAGTGATGTTAATAACATGCAGTATTTGATGGCTTTAAAGGGCCAGTGTCTTGCATTTTTACTTGTATGTTTGTGTGGCTTCATGTACCAAAAGCAGTCATACTTCCTTTCTACATTACTATTTTCTAACCTCTTTGTGTCTCTTAGTATTAAACACACTGGTTTTGCTACTGTGCCTTTCAGACTGATATAAGTAAAGGAGTTCTGTTCTGACTGGCTGCCCTTTCTGAAGGCTGTACAAGCAAATGTACATAAGTGTGCTGATTTTTGTGACATCACAATTTAAAACAGACTGTTTTTTTGCAGCTTAAATTACATAGGCCTAGGGTCTATGGTACAGAGATGGTATGGTATGGTAGAAATTTTTATTTATACATTTCTATGAATTTCTATTTATCTGCTGAGTTTAACATATTGGAAAAACATACAATATAAAAAGTGGAACATATTTTGCACAGGCCACATTTTGGGCCAGATTCATAAAGCACAGAGCCAGATTTACCTGTGACATTAAGAGTAAATAGCGTGGCGTGGCGGTGTGTTCACTTTATTTAAATATGGCAGTAGCGATTCATAACACACTCCCACAAAAAATAACACCTGAATCACTCTGGTGGAAATTTTCCTGGTAATATGCCAATTTGGATTAATTGGTATTTTCTACAGTGTTTCCAGACGTTTGGCTCCACATGCGTCAAATCGCACATATACTCAGCTGATTAATTAATATATTCAAATGACACATTTTGATCTGTTTGGACAGAGCAGCATGACAAACCTAAATGCTGTTGTAGGAGAACATACAAGAATAAAGCTCTGCTCAAGCAGGATTTCAGATCGGCAGATTTCACTGGTTCTGTATTTGAAACGGCCTCATCTTACTGCGTCAAATTCCACATTTCATTAATCTGCCACCTGAAAGTAGGTTTAGCTTGTAATCCAAATAAGTGAAGAGTAATGTAGAGATTCTAATTACATGCTTGAATTGATTTTATTGCAAGCATTTTAACTTTTAATAGTATTTTTCTATTTACAATGGATTTTACAATTTCATTTTACACATTTACTAGTGAAAATTCATTTCTTACAAGCAAACACTACATTTTTACTGGTCAATATTTAATATATTGCAGTGGAATTTTCACATGTGGAAAACAAATTCCTGCTACCAAAAATTAAATATTTACTAGTTGAAATGTATTTTTTAATTGATTACCAAAAAAATGACCAGATATTAAACTTTATGTTAGTAAATATTATCACTGCAATTCTACTGAATTATTAAAGAGGCTTGAATTATCACCAACAAGAAATGAAATAGTACTTGCTAAAAATTCCTACAAACAGTCCTACAAAAAGGTTACATTTTAAGATGTTCTACAAATTTTTTACATGCCATTTTTCATACTAAAAATAAAGTTTATTTTTTCATTAAAAGTTAAAAGCCTCTTTACCAAACAATTTTCTATTATTTGTCAGCACTTCTTCCCCTAAAATTCATAGCTCTGTTTCTGCGAATTTTGTTTTCTTTTTGTTTCTTTGTTTTCATTTTTTCATCATGTCCATTTTGGCAGCAAACCTGAGCTTCACTTGATGTGGGTCTGTTATATATATAGCTATATTTACATGTGGATTTTGATTGGCTCTTGTCTAGGACACAGGTGATAATACTGCAGCATTAAAAAACATCAGTGTGCTAGTCACTGCCACAGTGACTTTAAGAATAGCTCTTATTTACAGTTCAGCACATTCTGTGTAGCATAGCGCTGTTACCCCTAGTTTTATGAATCTAGCCTATTATCTTTACATTTTTCCCAATATATTAAATTCAGCAAATAAACAGTATTTATGTATTAAACCGTGCAGAAGTGTGTTCTAGAGGATGCGCACTTATTTTTTACCTAGAAATTGACAAAAGCCATATTTTGACCACACTTTTGCATATGACTATACATTTTAAAACTTTAACAGTGATTACACATAACATCAAAAAAATGTTTTGTGTCAAAAAAATGAAGAAAATTCAGTTTTCCTTGATATGATATGAGCCCTTTAAAGAGAGGCTAGATGCTTATAGAAAGCTCCTCCTGAAAACGGTGAAACGTGTCTTGAATTTGTCGCATGTCTTGAGTTAATGCTAGCTATAATATGCAGAATGACAGCCTTAAAGAGAGGCTACAGGCTAACACAAACCTCATCCTGAAAAGAAGACACTAGTGCAGCACACTACGAGCGCTAACGAGTCTTTAATGACAATAGCGCAGCTTGTGGCCTGAAGGTGGCCCAAGGATATTTGGTAGCACATTTTGCCGACAAACCTGCTAGTGAGAGTCAGTTTCAGCTACATGACAAAACCATGTCTCATGCTAACTGATGCTAGTAGCTCTAAGTTAGAGACTAGACAGTATTAACCATCCTGAGATAATGAGCTAGACTGGTGAGTAAGCAAATGATCATGGCTATGCACTCCACCACTACAGAGAAGATCAGGGGTCAGCCCTGCTAGTTATGTTGCATGCAGTGATGACTCATTGGTCATGCTCTGCATGAAGGTTGCCCTTGGGTGGG